CCCCCACCCACAAGCTAAAATTGTGCCGTACAGGCAGGTGCAAACTTGCAAAGAGGCAGTTCCAAATGTCTTCAGCAGAGACCTGTGACCCCACAGTTCTTAGGAGCCTTCCAAGGAGAGATTTCAGAGGATTATACTTTCAGGCCCCCAAAGGAGTTACAAGAGTTCCTTAGTTTTATGGAGATATAGCTCATATAGACTACACAGATCTTAAGAATGTAGCTCAATGAATTATTTATTACCAATTGTTCGCAGGTCAAGAAACCTGACATTCCCAGCACCCTCAGAAAGCTCCCTGGTACCCCCACCCACAAGCAGCTGCTGTTCTGACCCTATCTTTGCAAACTGTCAACTACTCTCCTTAGCTGGGTATTTCTGGGATGGGAGGAGTCTGTGCTTTCAGAATTCCATCCCCAACTCTCTTCCCAGCTAAAAGTGGACTTTAGCCAAGGCAAACAAGGCAGATGGAGGCAGCCCTCCAGCCAGCCTGGCATTTGGCTTTTCTGCCCTGCCCTGTGGCTGGTGGGTCAGGTCCCTGAGTGTGGGTGAGCTCCAGGGGCCTTTGTGATGTCAGCGCCCTGCCTCCCGCCCTCACAGCCCCTCACTCCCCCCAGCTGCCTCCCCTCCTATCCCAGAGAGACAGGCAAAGTGGATGATGGGTTCCCGCTGTGCCAAGCTCAGCACGGGCCACAGCACAGGCCATGGCACAGGCCACGGCACCGGCCATGGCAAAAGCCACGAATCCTCCATGAAGAAGCTTGTGGCCTGTGTGAGTCAGGATAACTTCTCCCTGTCGTCAGAGGGCGAGGAAGACGAGGAGGAGGAGGAGGAGGAAGAGGAGGAAGAGGAAGAGGAGGAAGAGGAGCTCCCAGTGCAGGGCAAGCTACTGCTGATGGAGTCTGAGCAACAGGAAGAGGAGGCCGAAGATAGCCCCGCAGCCCAGCAGAGCCCCGAACCCAAGAAGACACACTCCTGACCCCAATGACGGCCTGGGAAGGGGTGTCCAGTGAGAACTTACAGAAAAGAGTCAATAAAAGTCTCCAAGGAGGCTCCTCGTCTCTGGTTTCCCCTAACCCCATGCCTTCTGGTACTGTGTGCCTGTGTATATGTGAGTGCCTGGGGGCACGTGGGGGTGTGCGGGTGTGTGGGGTGGGCTGGGAGGGCAACCAGCTGCCAAGGGAAGCTGAAGAGCAGGGGTTGGTGACCTTGTTCCTGATACCCAGCTGGAGGTTCTCCGTTTAGGTGTAGAAAATGTGGTGGCCTGGACCAGAAATCATCTTCCCCAGTCCCATCTCCAGGGCAGGGGGGATTCCTTGCCAAGCCTGAGCAGACAAGGCACAGAGCACCCACAAGGACAGGGGAATCTGGGAATCTTCTTTCGCACAGACCCCTCCTCCCCCATCTTGCTGCTCTAACTAGTCTTAACAGCACTAGCTTGGAAGTTCAGTAGACCTGGGTTCGACCTAGGTATGTGACCTTTAGCAAGTCACCGTGCCTCCCACCTTCACAGCCCCTCACTCCCCTCCTATCTCAGAAAGATAGGCTCTCTGCTGGGCTGCGGGGCTGTCTTCGGCCCACAGTCTCCAGTGGGTCACAGACTCAACTAAAGTGTTGGGGGGCGGGGAGAGACAGGGCCTGACACTAGGATGTACTGAGCCATAGCAGGTGGGACTGTGGGCAGGCCCAGTCCTTTCTCATCACTGACTCTTCTGTTGCCACCCCACACTCTTTGTGACTGACTGTGCCCTGCCTGGAAGCTACCCCTGCCTTCTTCAAGGGGTCCAGCTCCAGGAGCAGAGACAATGCCCCTATGAAAGCAACAGGAAGTGGGAGTGTGGAGCGGCTGCTGGAAGCAGGTGCAGAGCCCAGCTCAGTGCGCCTTTTGGAGGCACCTGGGGATGTGTCTGCTGCCCACAGGCCCCTGGGTCTCTCATCCCCTCTCCAGAAGAAATGACAAAGGAAGAGCACGCACTTATAGGGCAACTTGAATCTACATCCCTGGTTAAAAATTTAAAAGTTAAAAATAAGTTAAAGGAAAAAATAAAAAGAAACAACACAATCTCGGTCCTGCTTCCTTGCAGTGCTCCAGATATCCACATTGGGCCTGAGAAGGCTCCTGTCAGGGTGGTGGGGATGGGGAAGGGAAGGCAGCATTTCCAGCTGGCCCTCAATTTCCCTAGGGGTTCTGTTTGAGGAGGAGTGGGGTCTTGGGCTACTTGAAGGTAAGATCACAGCTGGGCCTGCAGATGGCAGAGGGCAGTAGTAGGCAAGGGGGAGGCTTCCACTGGCTCGAAACGCCCCTTGGCCCCTTTGGTCCCTGTCATGAGTGACTCAGTGGGCCAGCTTTGTCTCGAGTCTCACTCTTTTCCCTAGGCTAGAATGCTGTGGCATCCTGGCTCATAGCAACCTGAAAATCCTGGGCTCAAGTGATCCTTCTGCCTCAGTCTCCAAGTAGCTGGGATTACAGTGCCCACCACAGTGCCCAGCTAGTTTTTTCTATTTTTAGTAGAGATGGGGTCTTGCTCTTGCTCAGACTGGTCTCAAAATCCTGAACTCAAGTAATCCACCCACTTTGGTCTCCGAGGGTGCTAGGATACTAGGCGTGAGCCTTTGCGACTAGCCTCCAGCTTTATCTTTTTGCTAGAAGCAAAAGCCCAAACGTGCACCTGGCCATCCACATGCCCAGCAAACACAGGTGGAAGCCCTGCTGTAGGCTAGACCCTGTACTACCCCCCAAGGGGCCTGATGGTAACAAAACACAGCCCCAAGAGGACAGGTCACAGTCGTAGGGGTGTGGCACCACCTACAGCAGAGCTGTCAGACAGGGCAATTCTCTTTGGGAGGGCTGGAAAGGCCATAGCAGACGATGGTGGCCACACTGTGTGCTCACAGATGGCAAAGTGGGGAGTCAGCAGTGGAGGAATGGGGGCCATGTGGGGGTGTCCAGAGGCCTAGAGCGTCTTCACAGTGTGACCTGGCACACTCCCCACAACCAGACCAGCTGAGCCCTGCACAGACAGGGCCACAAAGACTAGAGCCACCATGCCCTCTAATCCCTGTGGATCCCAGTGCCCATACAAGGGGGGCACGCCTGGTTTTAAATCCTGGCTTGGCCACTGGCTAGCTGTGGGACTCCAGGCTGGTTACTCAACCTCTCTGAGCCTGTTCTCTCCTTATAAATGTGATAATCATACCTGCTTCACAGGGTGCATTAGTTTCTTAGGATAGCTGCGTCAAAGTACCACAAACTTGGTGTTAAAAAAGAACAGAAGTTTATTCTCTCAAGGTTCTGGAGATGGAGGCATCAGCTGGGCTATGCTCCCTCCAGGTCTTTAGAGGAGAGTCCCTCCAGCCTCCTCCAGCTCCTAGAGGCCCCAGCCGCACTTGTTTTATGACTGTGGACCTCATCTCTGCGTCCCTCTGCATGTGGTCTCTCTTCCCATGTGTCACCTCTTCTATCTCCTACAAGGACATACACCAGCATGCTCTCATTCTGAGATTCTTAGCTTAATGCCATCTGCAAAGACTCTCTTCCACATCAGCTCACACTGGCAGGTTCCAGGGATTAAGATGTGGACACAGATTTTAGGAAGCCTCCATATGGTCCATTACAGGGTCACTGTGAGGCTCAAGGACAAAGCTGCCTGGAAAGGGAGGGGCCAGAGCTCATACAAATAGGAAGTAGGGAAGTATGAGGGTGGTTTTCATTGTGAGTGATCTGACATATTTATTAAGGAATAAACTTTGATCAAAGTGGGTGATAACAATTCTTCATGACCAGAGGTAATGCTGTGTGTGGAAAGTAGAAGTGAGAGGACCTGCTTGGGAGGGGAGGTAGGGACAGAGCGAGTTCCAGGGAGGTAAAAGAGAGGAGTGCAGGCTTAGAGTGGGAGAGCTAAGCCTAAGGGCATCAGCCAAGACCTGGGAGGGGCTGATGGTGGTGGACAGAACACAGGAGTAGGGAGGCCACACAGGCCTGGTGCTCAAGTACCAGCATGGGCTTTCTCCCCAGGTGCTGGGCTGTCGGAATAGGGCAGTGTGATTCAAATGCAGCTCCACTAGCAGGGAGGGAAGCAGAGTCAGGAGGCAGGAACTGAAAGGAGGAAGATGAATTTCCAGGGGCCTCCTGTGGCTTCACAGGCATCTCAGGCGTACAAAAGAATACCAGGAAAGAAGGACAGATACCTCTTTTGTCACGTACAAAAGCCTTAAAAACCGCAGTGATCTAGCCAAGACTGGAAATCAGTGCAAAGTGGGATTTGAATCTGTCTCTACATGTCCTGACTTTAAATCCTGCTGGGCAGGTGGGCTTTCCAGGCAGGCCCCAGGACCCCCCATAGGTCCACTTAGTTACTCTTATCATTCATTCATCCACTGGGCCATCTGACAAATTTCTTACCTATCCCATAGCTATCTGACACTAATTGTCTGTCTTAAAGACCACCTGCCACCCTCCCACCTCACTGGGATCAGGGCTGCACTACTATGACCCAAGCGGCCCGGGTGGAGGGAGAAAACGTGTGCTTGTGAATGACATTTACTGAGCTCTTCCTGTGGGCTGGGCCCGAGCCAACCACTTGACGTAGATTTTCTCATTTAATTCTTCTAATGTCCGCATGAGGTACAGTTATTGTCCCCATTCCACAAAAACAGGGAAATTAGGGCCTGAGAAGGTAAAGGCTTAGGGCTGTTTGTGAGGTAGGAGCAGATTTGGAATGTGGATTCCACTCACTCAGTTCACTCAGACCTAAGGATCCCTACTCTTTACCCACAGATGGGACTGCCCTGAAAGCTGCCCCGCCCTGGGAGCAAGGGTAGGGGTTTGTTCTGGCTGGGCTGCATCTCTTACACCCCCATAGGCTGTGCCATCACAATCGACCCCAAGTATATAAACAGGGGCTGCCAGGGCCTCTGTAAAGCTGGGCTTGCTGGAAGAGGAGGAAGAGGAGGCATTTGCCCCTCCAAGTGTGGCCTCCCATGGACACCAAGATGCAGAACCTTCCTGTCACCCACGCCCAGCCCTATGGCAACTCTCAGCCCCAAAGCCACACCTGCAGCCAGTGCAACTGCAGCCTTCACTGCCAGAACTGCAGCCAGAGTTGCCGACGGAATCAGAGCTGCAGCCCAAGCCGGAGCTCCAGCCAAAGCCCCACTGGCCAGTGCAGACCACCCAGGCTCCGCAGCCCATCCAGGGCCCCTAGTCAATCCAGCCACCGGAGCCCAAGCCCCAGCCTGTCGCCAAAGCAGTGCCAGCAGACCGCACACTCCAACTCTTCCTTGCAGCCCACCAGCCATCGCAGCAGCTGCCCCCGGAACAGGAAGACTTTGGAACGCAAGGCAAAGAAGAGGAAGCCAGGCAAGAGGATCCAGCAGGCATATAAAACAAAGAGGCAGAGCCCAGGTACATCATGCAGGAGGGGAAGGGAGCAGGACAGCTGGCCCTGGGACTGTGAGGTTGAGGTCACAGAGGAATCATAGACAGAGGTGAAGGGGAGGGGAAGAGAAATAATGGTAGACTAGTTTAATGTATACAATGCTTTGAACTGGTTCTTTAAATTGGATGGGTTGACTGGGAGGATGGAAGGATGAGGTGGGCGGATGTTGGGGGAAATAGAAGTTTGGTTAGGTAGACGAATGGATAATGGACTGGGTAAATGGGGTTGGATCAATACAGTGGTTGGGTAGATGGCTGATTTGATTGCTTAGAAGGATATGGTTGGTGGATGAATTGAATGGATATGAGTTTTGATGGCTGAATGGTTGGTTTGATTGGTTAATGGTTGGCTTAGTGAATGGGTAGATGGGTGGATGATGAAAGGTTTGGTAGGTTTACTGGATGAATGACTGGTACAAACTGGATACAAATTGAATAATGAAATGTAGAACAGAGTGAAATGAATGGGTGGAGCACATCAAAAGGACCTTGATGAAAGCTCTACCAGTGCCCTATTCCATCATGAACGAGCAGTCTTAGACCTAACGGTGAGTTTGGTGACTTCATGAAGTGCCCAGCTGTTAAAGGTCCCTTTCTCACTCCTTTCCCTTAGGTCGGAGACACAAGTGATGAGACGGCACTCCCTGGCTTGTTCCTGTGTGTTCCAAGTGAGAGATGCCATCCTGCGTGGAATACTAGGACAAAGTCAATCTTTTTGCAGGAACATGTTACTATGGTGATTTCTATGCAACATTGATTAAAGCTTGTACACTGGAAAACTATCCGAGTTTGCATTTTGATTTCTACGTCACATAATGTTTGGAGTCCTGGCTAGGAAGGAAAACACAGTGAAAAGAGGTCACCTAGAGGGCAGGGACAGGCCTGTAATGGGACCTTATGAAAGCATAAAGAGTGTTGCCAGCACAGGAGCAGGCGTGGATGGGGGTGTGATGCCAAGAAGCCTTGGAAGTGGATGGGCAACATTGTTCCTTTGCCCTATGTGTTCCCATGTGGTGCCCACAGATCCATGGGTATCTCTCGCAAAAGCATGGCAGGAAACAGGCAGGAAGAGAGCTTAGGGATGTGCATTTTATAGTCTAGAGCATCCTGCGTCTGGATCCTGGCTGATGCTCAACCTCTCTGAGCCTTCAGCAAAAGAGTCCCTTAAAGCTGCCATTTCAACAAACTTTTTACTACAGGACCAGGTCTGTTCAGGGGCTATGCTAGGCTCTGGGAACACACAGAGGACACAAAAGGCCCTGCTGGTTAAGACAAGTTGTATCAAGGGTGTGGAGGGAGGCGACATGGGGCAAGGGGCAACTTGGGAAGGTGCTGTCCCTCCAGAGCAGTATGTACAAAAGCTCTAGGGAAAGAGCTTGTGTTCCAAAGACTGGAGTAGCTGCACGCGACATGCAGGTGGTGAAGCAGGAGGTGGGAGCCAGACCACACGAGTTTACAGGCCACTGGGAAGAGCTTGGACATTATTCTCAGTGTGAAGTAGTCATGTGAAGGTCTTCACTGGATGGATGACAGGGTCTGCTGATGGTGCCTCAAAGCTGGCACTGGCTGCCATATGGAAACAGGGGCAGGAGGGGGCAGAGGGGTGGGTAAGATGCTGTGTCAGCGTACCACTAGAGATCTTCCAAGACAGCTGGATTGGAGCTTCCTCCCAAGATCATCCCCAGTGTCCTGCCTTCACCATTCCTCCTGCAGCAAACACTTACTGGGCACCAGCTTTAAGCTGTGGTCCAGAAGGGCAGATAAAGGTCCCTGAACCCACATAACTTACAATTGAATTAGTAATGTGGACACTCATTACTTGTGAGAAAACCTCAGTTTTCTCATCCACAAAATGGGTGTGGGTGCTCTTACTGGGGCAGGGAGGGGTCAATGAGATGGTGTGTGAGAAGCATCTAGGCCCAGGGCTTGGCACAAGTAGGCACTCAGTGAACCTTTTCCATTCAGCATATAGAGTGCTCAGGTTTTTTTTTTTTTTTTTTTTTTTTAGACAGAGCCCCAAACTGTCCCCCCGGGTAGAGTGTCATGGCTCACAGCTCACAGCAACCTCCAACTCCTGGGCTCAAGCGAGTCTCCTGCCTCAGCCTCCCAAGCAGCTGGGACTACAGGTGCCCACCACAACACCCAGCTTTTTCGGTTGCAGCCATCATCGCTATTTTGGAGGGCCTGGGCTGAATTCAAACCTGCCACCTTAGGTGTATGTGACTGGCGCCTTAGCCACTTGAGCCACAGGCACCCAGTCAAGTGCTCAGGTTTTTGAGAGGGGGCACTAGCTGCCAGATAAAAGGATTTGGGAATGGTCAAAGTCTCAGGTAAATTACTTTCTGACCTCCAACCCTATCAGCCTTGGTTTTAGGGTCAGACTCAAGTTTTCCCTGGCTCCCGCACTCCCAGCTGGGAGACGCTGGACTAGCCATGCCTATTCTGGGACATACTTGTCTTGCCGGTCTGATGGGGTCATGATCCTGACTGTGGGTCTCAGCAGGCTCCCAGCATCTGCGCCAGATACATGGCTGCTGGGGTTTCTTTTTGAAAAAGAAAAAGCTGTGAGCTATGATATACAGAGGGTGACAAAGTAAGACTTTGTCTCAAAAGAAAAAAAAAAAAAAGAAGGAATGGGATGAACAGGTAGAGAAGGGAGGTGGGATGGAGTGTCTGCAGTGGGGGTGGGGGGAGCTTCAGGAAGCCTGAGATTTGCAGGACTTTTGAGTTCTGCTGAGCCAGGCCCGGCAGTGGCTTGAAGGAATGACTCAGTGGAAGATCCTCTTTCGGATCTAAGCTGGGTGACCTCAAGCAAGTCTGTAAGTTGGGAGGCTAACAGTGCCTCCCTTGAGGGGTCCCATTAAGATAATGCCCCTGGGCCTGGCTCACACCTGTAATCCTAGCACTCTGGGAGGCAGAGGCGGATGAATTGCTTGAGCTCAGGAGTTTGAGACCAACCTGAGCAAGAGGGAGTCCCCGTCTCGAAAAATAGCCCAGCATTGTGGCAGGCAACTATAGTCCCAGCTACTTGGGAGGCTGAGGCAAGAGAATCACTTGAGCCCAAGAGTTTGAGGTTTCTGTGAGCTATGATGCCACGGCACTATACCAAGGGTGGCAAAGTAAGACTCTGTCTCAAAAAAAAAAAAAGACAAAAAACAAAAAAGATAATGCCCCTGTAGGTGCCCAGCAGAGGGCCTGGTCCTTTCCTTGGGTTCCTTTATCCTCCCCTCACAGTAAGGAAATATTCCAGGCTCTTCACTCTGGGAAGCATATTGTGGAAAAGGAATCATAGACAGATTGTCAGAAGTGTGGTCAGGGACTTTGAGCCTCACTCACCAATGGACCACCCTATTACCTGAGAATTGTCCTTCCGGTGTTATGGCGGGCACGTGTAGTCCCAGCTACTTGAGAGGCTGAGGCAAGAGAAACTTGAGCCCAAGAGTTTGAGGTTTCTGTGAGCTGTGACAGCATAGCACTCTACTGAGGGTGACAAAGTGAGAGTCTGTCTCAAAAAAAAGAAAGCCATTCACACCCACTCAGACAAAGATACTGCACACCAAATACACACACACACATATATGCACACACACACACAGGCCCCACACACTGAAACACACGTGCAGGTGCACACTCACCTGTGCATACTACACTCTTAGTCAGACATATGATGACAAGAGGGAAGTGTCTGACCACAGACTTATTCTTTTCACTTGCTAGGCTGGGTGTGGAGGTGGGGAGACAGCAGATGGGCAGGTCTGCTGCAAACCCCAATCCAGGAAATGAGGAGACATGATAAATTCAGCCACTGAGGCTGGGTGCAGTGGCTCACACCTGCAATCCTAGCACTCTGGGAGGCCAAGGTGGGTAGATTGCTTGAGCTCACCAGTCTCTACTAAAAATAGAAAAACTGAGGCAAGAGGATAGCTTGAACCTGAGTTTGAGGGTGCTGTGAGCTATTTCGCCATGGCACTCTACCCAGGGCAGCAGCTTGAAACTCTGTCTCAAAATAAAACAAACAAAAAAAAATCCAGCCACTGAGAGGGTATGTGGATGCTGAAGGTGACCCTCCTTGACTCTCCTAGGGAGAGATTTAATTTAAATGTTCAATTGGGATGAAATGAGGTCTGAGAAATACTGAAGCCTGGTCTGGCCTGTGGTAGGACTGTCTGCCCAGTCACCTGCGGGGGGTGGGGGTGGGGCTGCTACTCCTGCAGGCCCAAGCGATCACTAAAGAAAAGCCCAGTGGTCTTGGGTTGAAGGGTTGAAGGAAAATCAGCCAGGAAGGAGAGCAAACACAGGTTGAGGGCTGTGATCCTCATCTGAGGGCTGATTCAAGAGGAAAAACATCTCTAACTCTGTAGCCACACAGGCCCAGATTCAAATCTCAGCTCCCACACCCTCTTGCAGGGTGGCTTCCAGCCTGTCTCATGACCTCTCTGAGCCTATTGTGTGTCCCTTGCTTTATGAAGATCACTGAAGGGACATGTTTCTTTTCACTGCATTTAATACTCAGCACAGTGCCTGGCACACATTAGGAGCGCAGTGAATATTTGTTAAAGCAGTGGGAGGAGATGACGCATTAAAGTAACCATGAGATGCCAGTTGTGCACCCATCAACTAAGCAAATAATGGAAAAGCTTGATAATAAGGACTGGCAAGGAGACAGGGAAACACATTGTTGAATGCTGTTGCCAGGGGTAAGTGTGCACAGGCCTGCTGGCAGGCACGGGGCAGTGTCTACCAATAGCCAAAGTGCATGTACCAACTTTCTACATATGTGCACAAGGCTTTTTGGGGAGTCTCAGGGCTACCTTGTTTGCAAGAGCAAAAAACAACCTCTGTGTCCATCCACAGGGAATGGTAAATGGCCATCCTGAGGAAGGTTCTGCAGTAGTTTTTTTTTGTTTTTTTTGAGACAGAGTCTTAAGCTGTCACCCTGGGTAGAGTGCTGTGGTGTTACAGCTCACAGCAACCTCTTACTCTTGGGCTTAAGCAATTCTCTTGCCTCAGCCTCCCAAGTAGCTGGGACTACAGGCGCCTGCCACAACACCTCACTATTTTTTTTGTTGCCATTGTCATTGTTGTTCTAGCTGACCTAGGCCAAGCCAGCCCTCAAACCTGCTAGCTTCGGTGTATGTGGCCGGTGCCCTATCCACTAAGCTCTGGATGCCACCGGTCCTGAAGTTTTTAAGAAAAAATGGGCTTAATCTATACACATGATCTATGCCGACCATCAGGGTATTCTGTCAGGTGAAAAGGGCAAGAGGGAGAAAGGCAGGGAAGCCCTACACAAAGCAACACCACTGTTATGGGTCAAAATGCATGCATGTAAGTGCATAGAAAAAGGCCTGGAAGGACCAGGACTAAGCTGATTCTCGGGACTACCCCGGGGGAGGGGAAATATTTTGATTATTTTAATAAGGAGATGAAAAGTTAAAGAAAAAAAGAGGAATGAGCATCAGTGACACATCCAGTGGCTGCTCGGCAAAGCCTTGTTGAATCTGAGAAGAGACAGTACAGGCGTGCTGAATCTAACATCAGCCTCTCCCTGGGCTTGCTGTCTGGGCAAGGTGACCCAGAAGACCTTCCCCAGAGGGACTCAGCACCCCAGGGCAGGGAGAGGCCAGCCC